ATTTCAAAATACTACTGCTTTTCGCTATATTATTGGCCATACCTAACCCTATTAGCGTTGAGCCACTGGTGGTGGTGGGCCAAGCGTTAGGCCAATCTTTTCCAGCTATACAGGAGACATCTGCTCCTGTACCTAGCAGACCTTCAAATGGGACTCCTTCTATAAGAATCTTTCTCATAGGTCGGTTTTGTCTCAATTGGGCCACCCAAGCTACTATATTGGTGGACCCAAAACCTTCTGCTCCCCCTCTCTCTTTTAAGGTAGGGTTAGGCAAAGCAAAATAGGGAAGCAGAAGCAACTGCTTCTGCAATTCGTTGCCCTGGATATATTTGCACAGTCTTCCTTGGAGGTCCTATCATGATCATAATTTCTCCTTGGAAGTCACTGTCGATGACTCCAGGTAAGACAGAAATCCCAGCTCTGGAGGCAGAACTTCTTCCAATAATAAGACCAGTGGTTCCTTGAGGTAAGGGTCCATAAATCCCAGTAGCAACTAACACTACTTCTGATTCTGGGGTAATGATAACATGTCTATGAGACGGAAGATCTAGTCCTGCACTCCCCGGGGAGGCTCGGGCCAGGTCATATATGGTGAGTTTGAGTTGGTCTCCTGTGGCAGTCCCCAATTGGGAACGGGGGGCTTGGGGGAGCCCCCATACTCCGTTTTTTGGCTGTTCAGTTCATTGGAGCTGTTGCATTTGTTGCGTCACTTGGGGCATATTTGGCAAGGGAGGCTGCCCCTGGTTTCTGTCCTGTCCCTGTGGGGGCAACAACTGCCCGTTCTTAGGAAACTTGGAGTGACATTCCTTGGCCCAGTGAAATCCTTTCATACACCTAGGGCATACAGCCGTGGGCCGAGGGCCCGTGGGAGGTTGCTGGAGCAAGCCTCCAGTATTGGTTGACTGATTGTTGCGGGGACAATTCTTTTTTATAAGCCCTGGCTGGCCACAGGAGTAGCAAGCAGCTCCTAAGGAATTTCCTTTATTTTTCTGTCCCCCAGACCTTATGTCTTGTAAGAATTGGGTGTGAGTTCTTCCTTTTAAGGCTGCAGCCATTGCCACCCCTTGAATGTATGCTGGGGAGGCGTCCATGCAAGCTTTCACATGGTCCCCCACTGTTCCTGTCCGCCTAACAGGTCTTAATAGTGCTTGGCAAGTTTGGTTAGCATTCTCAAAAGCCAATTGTTTGAGAACTAGTTCTGCAGCTTCGTTCATGGGAACAGCTTTGGAGACCGCTTCCTCTAATTTTGCTAAAAAATTTCCAAAAGGCTCTTCTGGACCCTGCTTAATGTTGCTTAAAAAGGAAGTAGCTAGCTCAGGAGTGGGTAATCTTCTCCAAGCTATAGTAGCTAATTTTGATATTTCTTCTAAAGCGGTCCTCGATCAAGATAACTGAGCCTGTGGAGAGTCGTACTCTCTGGTCCCTAATAACATAGACATTGTAAGTCTCTCTGTTGAGGGCTGGGAGAATGCCCTTCTAACACTAGCTTTAGCATTGTCTTCATACTCTGTTCTCCACAGCAAATATCGCCCAGAGTTAAGACATGATTTTGCTGTTTGTTGCCAATCATGAGGGGTCATCCACTCAGCACCAATGGAATCTACAAGCTGCAAAGTATAAGGGGAAGTAGGACCAAAGTCCTTAACAGCCCTTTTTATTTCCTTTATTAACTTAAACGGCAGAGGTTCACACTGCGTGGGGTCATGAGGAGTCATTGGAAAAATCACTGGGAAGCAACTCAAGGTCTCACCCTGCCTCCTTGCCTCTCTCATGGCCCCCAGAAACCCGATCTTCTCAGGCAGACGCTTCGCTTGCCGAGACCGAACGCACTTTATTTTTACTTTCACTTTCCGGTCTCGCAGCGCAGCTAACGCCAAGGGGCCGAAATCTTCAGAATGATATCGAGCAGCTTCTTCTTCTAATTCAGCCTGATAATCAGGTGGCAACTCTTCCTTTTTCTCAGGCTGTTCATCATCCGAGTCGGAGTCAGACTCACTCTCACTCTTTTCATGCTCATCTAGAGCAGGCGGCGGGGCAGAAGGCGCTAGATTTTCACAAGTTGCTATTTTTACCGCCGCACACAAAGGCTGTTTTTTCTCCTGGGTCGCCTGTTTAGCGAGGCACTCAACCTCATGAGTGGGGTCAAAACTATCTTTTAAAACATTCCAAAGGGGAAAAGCATCTACTGGAACCTTTTCGGGCCCATGAAGGGTATAATAAGTCTTCATATCTTGGCCAAGTCGCTGCCAAGTCTCTGGATTCACTGATCCCTCCTCCGGGAACCAGGGCGCACATTCTTGAACAAAATGAAAAAAATCTCTAAGCTGTCTTCCTGACACATTACTCCTCTCTTATGGAGCATATGCTTAGTTATATCAATAAATAAACCTCTTTCTTTGGACTCTGTATGTCCCATGATTACTCACCCTTTACTACCTGGTCTATCTACCAGGGGGTCTGCAGCACCCGGTCGGTGAGAGCCTAGCCTACCCGAGAATAATTTAAGGGGTCTTACCTGAGGGTCCCTGTTCGGGCGCCACCTGCCGTGGTCTGGCCGCAGCAGGTCAAGGGGTCCCACAGGTGAGGGTAGGCGTCGGCGCTGGGTAACAGACGACAACACGCCTCAAAGGACAGTGAAGCTCTGTTCCCTTTATTGCAAGTACAAGCAGGCTTTTATATTTTCATTTTAGATAGTGATTAACATTTGCAGTATAACATGATCATTTAAGCAGAAAAAATCAATACAAAGGTAATCAGTAAAAGAACGAAAGTTCCCATAGATTTAGTTGTAAAGATCAAAGATTATTTTAACTAGGAGAGCCATTAATCAGACAATTAGAAGTATCCTATCGTATGTTCAAGTTTCTCAGAATTTGGCATAGGGCAAAAGGATACGCTAGATTGAGTAGAGAAAATAGGAAATTTATTATGAGGCCCTTGTGATGTCTAACTTAGCTATCTACCCTTTTTTTTCTTTGCCCAAAATGTTTTTCTGTGTACTATAAATTCTGACTCCCTAGGAACTGTTTAGTTTGTAATAACTAACTAGCTTTTGTTATTTCTTTGCCTGTCTAGTTGATCTATATTCTTATTCAAGGTAAAGGAGGGGCTATTCTTATGTTGCAGGGGGCTTTCAAGGGTACTTCTTTTAAGTTTCTCTAGGAGTTCTTTTATAGACATGTTTTGTACTTTGATTCCCTCTAAGAAAGCAGTGGGATCATCTCCTGATTTCCTAGAGTATTCTATCTTATCTTGGGTGTTTTTCCAGTGATCTGTTATTGATTAAGCTTGAATTCTCAGATTGTTCTGGTTGTTTCTTTGTACCTATATTCCCTGATGTTTCTAGTATGATATCATTATTCTGTTCATTGAGCCGGGAAAGGTCTAGGCACACTATCTGAATCACTGCCAGGGTATTCATAATGATTAAAGCAAAAAGGGTCATGATTCCCAAAGCAAGCACAATCACAATAGGTATTGCAGGGCCTTCCATGCCACGTCCACCAGGTTGGAAACTGCTTCCTTGAAGTCTTACACCCCCTCTCAGGACCTTGTCACGGAGAGAGGGATCCAACAGTGGACGCGGCAGTGGACGTGGCATTTCCCTCTTTTTTATTTTTCAGCGGAAATTGATGAAATTCCAGAGTAGTTTTTCGAAGGGAGGAGAGGATTACTCGGAAGACGACTGGAAAAGCAAGGATTAAAATTAGAATAATGAAGCCAGTGATTCCAATATGTATTAAACTAGACCACCACATGACAGGGTTGATGGATTCTTGAATAGACTTCCAGATTCTGTCTGCAATTTCAGAACCTGGTGCAGTTAAATATGCCTGACTAATTTCTGTAATTTTGGTATGTAGGCCTTTGAGATCAGGTCCTAACATAGTATCGTGCCAAATACCTTGCAAATGAGTTTTCACCTGAGGCCAAGTGGTGAAATTTTGATTATAAGGCAAAGGTGTGACACAAATCCATTTAAAATCTGCATGACAACTAGTAGTCATTTGAGTCTTTATATTTTGAATCTGGTCACCTAAATATATAACCGTATCTTCTAAGGCATTTACTCTAGTTTCTAATTTCTTATCAGTTTTTTCTTGCAGAATTAGTGCAAGGGAAATATTGTGAGAGAGCTGATTAACATGTTGTGCAGTATGTACTTCTTGTACTAAAGCGGTAGTTGATAATGCAATAGAGGTTATTATACTGATTAAAGCAGTAATTCCTAATGTTAGAGCGGCTACAAATCTTTTTGGTCTTATTAATCCATCTATTTTTTCTAGTATATATAAACCTGTATCAGCATACCAATCTCCAGATAGTACTACAGGCATCAGGACATGCGAGGGTTGAAAAACTATGAGAAATGTGGTTAGGTTTTTGGGAAGCCCAGGATCAATACAGTTGGTTAGACTACAGTTAGAACAGTTAATGTAAAAAGAGGAGCTCCGTTGCTCCGTATGAATAGAGCCGATTAAGATTGCATGAGGGGTATTAACACATGCTCTAATACTATAAATAGTTGAAACATTACTAGTGGGTCTATCAAAAATAACCATATTGGTGGCTGCAAACAATTTGTATAAGCGTGGATAAATGGAGGATCGAGAATGACTTGTGGAATTAGTTACATAAATAGGGGCGACCCATCCTGGGGAGTAATAGCGGCTCAAGGGTTCATGAGGATTAAAAATTCTTGTGTTGTTAAGAAAAAACTTGTGAGTAGAATTCAGTAGGTAAGAGGTATAATTATAATAAGGAGAGGAGATTGAATAATCAAAAATAGTTCAGTTAGTTCCTGGAATGGCATGTTTCCCTGGAGTTCCTGGGAATCCACAAACTAGCCATCTTGGAAATCCTGAATTGAGATCAATATTTTTCCAGTATATATCTTTTTCTGGATAATCAGTTAGACATGCATCTATAGCCTTAGGGAGGGAAGTATTATTTTTATAAGTATCATTATAATTATAATGACCAAGGGTGACTATATTAAGTCCCACTAGAGATGCAGACACTCGGGCCCTCCCTACACCTACAGGGTCCGCCACATGTGAACAAAACCTCCGACTCACTCGCCAGCCAAATGCAGTTTGAGAAGCACAGACCTCGGGAGGTCAGGAAACAGAGCAACCCAGCCCCCGGTCATCAATGAACTGTTTTCCTCCAGACTCACCCATTTCGACAGTTGACCGTTCCCTGGATTGTCCAGTTGGTTCCACTAACAAATTCACTTCTTCAAATATTAGTGCTGGATCCCTACTTTTTTGTCTTGTGAATCCAAGTGTCCTCATTTAACCCTCACAACGAAACAAAGACAGACCTTATACTCCCACTTCACACAGCAGCAAACCCAACAGCAGGAAGGTGACACCATTCCCTGAGTCCCACCTCTGACATGGGGCAAGGTGGAAAACAAAGCGAGGTGAGCTGACGTACCCGAGCCTTTCCCTGCGGAATGCGTGAGGTTGCACCTTCCCACCAGGAAAGGAAGTCCTAGTTCCAGGAGGGGCCTCTGTCACCATGGTAACATGTGCCCAGCCTAGGGATGGGGTCCCCAGAGTGGAGTTCCCACCCTGAAGTCCCTGCCCCCTGTATGAGCTGCTGTGGCTCCTTGCAGGGTTTCCATCTGGAGCTAGTAGAGGCAATTGGTTTTTCTTAGAAGTACATCTGCAATCCCTTCAGGATGTTGAAGTCTCTCGGGCAAATTCTGAGGAAGGAGAAGGCGCAAAGAAGAGTCGAATCGCTGATCTAATTTGCAGATTAAAGTCCCTGACACTTCCTGGGTTTAACCTTTTAAGACCATTTATCTCAGAAACCACACTGCCCCTCCCCACATCAAAAATAAAGAACAACTTCAAACGTAAAACACCCAAGGACTTGCATTGTTATAAATTCACTTTTCAATGAGTGTTTCTAAAAGATCCTATCTACTTGAAGGTTCCCTGTCTTTCAATAAAAATGACTGAGGACTTCCGCCAAGATGGAGGCATAGGTGGATGTGCCGTGCCTTCTCACACAACCAAGTTTAGAGACAACTAAATATTAGCAATAGAAAACACAGCCAGAACACAGAAAATTGAACTTTTCGGAAGTCCGTTAACAACAAATTCTTCAGCCTGACCGGTAAGGGGCGAAACCAGTGGCTGGTGAAGCGAGGTTGCACAGGAAACCTTGGTCAGCCGGACTCAGGCGCGCCCGTGGAATCCAGGCACAGGGTTGGACCTAGTGAGCGACCCAGCGAGTGACCAGGCGAGGGAGTGGGCGGTTGGACCGGGGCCTGGCGGGTCCCCGCGGTAAGCAGCAGTAGAGGGCGCTGTCATTTCCCTGCTCTGACCCCACCTCCACGTACAGCGTCATAACCCAGCGACTCTGAGTGGCCCGGCCCAGGTGAACCACCTAAGGCGCTACTCCTCACCCAGCTGTGCCAAACAGCAGAGGGGGTCGCCATTTCCCCGCTCTGACCACGCCCCCACATTACAGCGTCACAACCCAGCGGCCTGGGAGTCCAAGGTGCCGCTTCTCACACTTAAAGGGCGCGAACAGACCAAAAATAGCTCAAGAAGATCTCAAAGCCCCAGAGCCTATAAATTAAGCGATGAAGAAATAGCAGAACTCTCAGACACACAGTTTAAAACACTGGTGATCAGGATCCTCACAGAACTGGTTGATTATAGCCACAAATTAGACAAATATATGAAGGCGAAACTAATTGAAATGAATGGAATTGCACAGGAAACCAATAGCGATGAAAAGGAAACTGGGACTCAAATCGATGGAGTGGACCAGAAGAAAGCAAATAATGGCCAAACAGAAAAGAGTCAAGAAGCAAGAATTCAAAGAAATGAGGAGAGTCTTAGGAACCTCCAGGACATCTTTAAACGCTCCAACATCCAAATTATAGGGGTACCAGAAGGGGGAAAGGCACAGCCACCAGTGGAAAACTTATTTGAACAAATAATAAGGGAGAATTTCCCCAGTCTGGCAAAAGAAATACACTTCCAGGAAATCCAGGAAGCTCAGAGAGTCCCAAAGAAGTTGGACCCAAGAAGAAACACACCAAGGCACATCATAATTACATTAGCCAAGATTAAAATGAAGGAGAGAATCCTAGAAGCAGCAAGAGCTAAGGGGACAGTCACCTACAAAGGACTCCCCATCAGACTGTCAGCGGATTTCTCAAAAGAGACCTTACAGGCAAGAAGGGGCTGGAAAGAGGTATTCCAAGTCATGAAATCCAAAGACCTATGTTGGGAACCTTACACCTGGCTTCTAGCTAAAAAGATTGCATTGATTACAGGAACCTGTGCGCTCCACAAAGCCAATCGGCTACAGGCACATGAGGTGTCCACGAGTACCAGTTGCACCCAAGTAATCAATAAGCGGGCCCTTCTTTGTCTCAAGCTAGCCAATAGCAAGCAACCTAATCTCCTTCCTCTCCCTCCCCCCTATATATATACCCAGTTCGGAAAAATAAAGTTTGCAGCTTGATCAGAATCTTTTGTCTTGCTGCCATTCTTCGCGCCTCTTGTCCCCCCAACTCATTTGTTCTAGGTAGGTGGTCGAGCCCCAGTTGATTGCTCCGCGGGCCGGAGCAAGTGGCGCCCAACGTGGGGGCCCGATAGCCGCCGGAACAAAGCGCCGTCCCCGCCAGTGACTTCCCCGCACAGATTGGATCGCCACGACTACTCGACTGCGAGACAGATCCAGGAGCCCCTCCCCTCAACGGTGAACTCGGCCAGGTAAGGCCCCCAATCATGGGACAAGCATGTTCACAGAATGGTATTTTTATAAGTCAATTAAAGCAAACACTCAAGGTGCGAGGAACTCGAGTTAAGAAAAAAGGATTTAGTTTTATTTTTTGACTTTATATTCAAAATGTGCCCCTGGTTCCCCCAAAAGGGGACGATTGACCCACAGTGTTGGAACCGGGTCGGAGATTGCCTTAATGACTATTATGGAGTCTCTGGCCCCCAGACTGTCCCTATCACCGCCTTCAGTTATTTTAATCTTATTAAAGAAATCTTAGTCACTCATGGGCATTCTCTGGATGTCCAGAGCCTCTGTAAAGAGGGAAAAGAATTTCTAAAAAATCAATCCTGGTCCCCCTCGAGGGCCCCTTCAGCCCAAAATCTCTGTAAAGAGGGACAAGAAATTTCAAAAAAATCAATCTCGGCCCCCTTCGAGGGCCCCCCTCAATTGGCCCCTCAATTTCTATTAACATAGAGGAAGAGATTAAAAAACCCCCTAACCCTTCCCGTAATTCCTCAAATAACCATGTCGACCAATTAAACCCAGCAGAAGAGGCCGAACTCGAAAAAGAGGCAGCTTCTTACAATAACCTTGACTGGCCTCCTCTCTCTTCGCCCCCTTACTTAAAGATCTCCCAGCTTTTCGGCCGCCCCCCTATGCACCCTCGAACCTACCGCGCGCAGCCACCCGTATTCTAGCCCCCATTCTAAACAACCCCGAGCCACCAACAATCCACCAAAAACCCCTTCTCCAAAAAACCTCCATTCAAGAAGCCTTAATTCTCATTCGAGAAATCAAGGCCGTGGCTAAAGAATTCACTGATTTGACCCTATCCACCCCCACTGAATTACTCGCTTTCCCCGTCACCAGAAGCCAAAGTCAGGCCAATGCCCCCTCAAGCAGCCAGGCTGATGCGCCCTCAGGTAGCCGAGCCTGGGAGACCGACGGCTCCCAACATCCTCTCCCAAGTAGTGAGGATGAACGAGATTCTAATGGCTCTAGCTCTGATGAGGAAGAGGCTTCTGCCTCCGAACCCTCATACTCCCACTCCTATAAGCGGCTCAGTTTAAAAACCTTAGAAAAAATCAAAACGGCCGTAGCCAACTATGGTCCCACTGCCCCCTTCACAATGGCCTTAATTGAAAACCTTAGTGAACGGTGGCTTACACCCAATGATTGGTTTTTTGTAGCCAGAGCCGCCCTAAGTGGAGGCGATTTCATACTTTGGAAAAGCGATTACGAAGAGACCTCCAAACAATTCGCTGCATGTAACGCCCGTAAAACCTCTTCCGAAAGGTGGACATTAAAGAAATTCCTAGGCACTAGCCCATATCAACACAATGAAAAACAGGCTCAATATCCCCCCGGACTTTTAACACAAATCCAGTCCGCCGGGTTGAAAGCCTGGAAGCGCCTCCCCCAAAAAGGGGCCGCTACCACTTCCCTAGCAAAAATTAGACAAGGTCCTGATGAACCCTATAGCGAATTTATTAGCCGCCTACAAGAGCTAGCAGAGCGCCTGTTCGGCACAGGAGAAAGTGAAAGTGCCTTTGTAAAACATCTCGCCTTTGAAAATGCCAACCCTGCTTGCCAAGATGCCATCCGGCCTTATCGCCAGGGGGAGCTCTGCGATTATGTTCGCCTTTGCTCAGGCATCGGCTCTGCTCATGCCCTCGGGCTTGCCATTGGGGCTGCCCTTCAAAATTATACCCCCCAGACACCCCGCAGCCCACTCTGCTATACATGCAAGCAACCTGGACATTTTTCCAAAACCTGTCCCTTAGGTACTCAAGCTCCATCTACTCCTAATACCCCTCAAACCGCTGCCGCCCCCACCGCTCCTACCCCAAGGCTTCCACCCTCAAAGTGCCCTCGATGTAAAAAAGGCTTTCACTGGGCCTCTGAATGCCGCTCCAAAACAGACATAAATGGACAGCCCATTCCACCAAAACAGGGAAACTCCAACAGGGGCCAGCCCCAGGGCCCCAACCCAGGGATGAACTCCGGGGCTTCACAGTTCACCCCTCAGACATACCGCCATTCAGTCCCTGCCCTCCCGATAATCAACCACGCCTCCACGTCACAGACCTTTGGAGAGCAACGGCAGGCAGCGCAGGATTGGACCTCTGTGCCACCACCAACACAATATTAACATCGAATAATAGCCCCCTAATACTCCCTACTGGCATATATGGCCCCTTACCACCTGACACTTTTGGTCTTATCTTTGGCCGAGTCAGTTCAGCCCTTCGAGGAGTTCAAGTCCTCCCTGGCATTCTGGATAGTGATTTCGAAGGAGAGATACATATAATCCTGTCCACCTCCAAAAGCTTAATCACCATCCCAAGAGGAACTAGATTAGCCCAGATAGTTATCCTTCCTCTACATCATATTAACTCTAACTTTCAACAAACCTTTCGAGGACCCAGTACCCCTGGGTCCTCTGATACCTATTGGGTTCAACAAATATCTCACCAACGCCCCCTACTTGAACTCAAACTTAATGGAAAACTCTTCACAGGCATTCTAGATACAGGAGCAGATGCCACAGTAATAGCTCAGTCCAACTGGCCAAAATCCTGGCCTCTAACTGCTGTCACTACTCATTTGCGAGGCATTGGACATGCCACAAACCCCCAACAAAGCTCTCAAACAATCAGATGGGAAGACTCAGAGGGAAACAGTGGCTTAGTCACCCCTTTCGTCCTCCCAAATTTACCTGTCAATCTCTGGGGGCGAGACATCTTATCCCAGATGAAATTAATAATGTGTAGCCCCAATGAGATTGTCACAACCCAGATGCTAAATCAGGGTTTCTTACCTGGACAGGGATTAGGGAAGCAAGGCCAGGGAACTACCCAACCCATCGCCATTACCCCTAAACAAGACAAAACAGGTCTAGGATACCAACAAAATTTTGCCTGACGGCCATTGACAGTCCTGTACCCCATGCAGATAAAATCCTTTGGAAAACTACGGAGCCTGTTTGGGTTGATCAATGGCCTCTTACTTATGAAAAAACTTTAGCTGCCATGATGTTAGTACAGGAACAGCTTGCAGCAGGACATATGGAGCCCACCAACTCTCCATGGAATACCCCTATTTTTATTATTAAGAAAAAATCTGGTAAATGGCGACTTTTACAAGATCTTGGAGCAGTCAATAAGGCTATGGTACCTATGGGAGCACTCCAGCCTGGTCTCCCTTCGCCTGTAGCCATTCCTATTAATTATTACAAGATTGTCATTGATCTTAAAGATTGTTTCTTTACTATCCCACTACACCCAGAAGACAGACCCTATTTTGCTTTTAGTGTCCCTCAAACCAATTTTCAAAGTCCCATGCCCCGTTACCATTGGAAAGTGTTACCCCAAGGCATGGCCAATAGTCCTACCCTATGCCAAAAATTTGTTGCCGCAGCCATTGCCCCTGTTAGAGCAAAATGGCCTCAGGCTTATATCCTTCATTATATGGACGATATCCTTTTAGCCTGCCCAGACCAAAATACTGCTGAAGCCTGTTATGCTCACATCATTTCTTGCCTTACCCAACAAGGACTACAAATTGCCCCTGATAAAATACAGACATCTGACCCATACTCTTATTTAGGCTTTGAACTATCCCACCAACAAGTACTCACCCCCGTGTCTGCCTTCGAACTAATAATCTAAAAACACTTAATGACTTCCAAAAACTCCTAGGAGATATCCAATGGCTTAGACCATACCTAAAACTACCCACAGGAGTTCTCCTCCCACTTAATAATATTCTTAAAGGAAGTACAGATCTCCTATCCCCTCGAACACTGACCCCGGAGGCAAAACAATCATTAACTCTAATAAACAAAGCCATCCAAGAACAAACCGCAGGACAAATTTCCTATGCCCTACCTCTAATATTTCTATTACTTTCAACTACCCATACCCCCACGGGAGTCTTTTGGCAACCCAATTCCTCAGACACCACAAAAAACGGCCATCCCCTTCTCTGGGTCCATTTGCCAGCTTCCCCCTCCCAAGTGCTACTCACGTATCCTTCTCTCCTTGCCACCCTAATAATAAAAGGACGGCTCACCAGTCGCCAACTGTTTGGCAAAGACCCCGACTCAATAATTACTCCCTATACACAGGACCAAACAAACTGGCTTTTACAGACCTCTGATGAATGGGCCATAGCATTATCCTCCTTTACAGGAAACCTTGACAACCACTATCCCAGCGATCCCCTCATTCAATTTGCCAAAGCTCACCAATTTATATTTCCTAAACTCACTGAAACAGCTCCACTTCCCAAATGCCACCCTCGTCTTTACTGATGGGTCCTCAAATGGCACCTCTGCCTATGTCATCAATAAACAGACTTTTACTATAAGATCCCCTTATTCCTCTGCCCAACTTGTCGAACTATTTGCTATCCTAGAAGTTTTTACTTCACTTGCCAACCAGCCGTTCAACCTGTACACTGATAGTGCCTACATAGCACAGTCAGTCCCTCTCTTAGAAACAGTCCCCTTCATCAAACCCTCCACAAACGCCACCCCCTTATTTACCAAATTACAAAAACTCATACTGCAAAGACAGCACCCCTTCTACACCGGCCACCTCCGTGCTCACTTAGACCTCCCCGGGCCTCTTACAGAAGGCAACGCCTCAGCAGATGCCGCCACACGAACCATCCTGCCCGTCCTCCGTGAGCCAATAAAAGAGGCTACTCAAGCCCACTCCTTGCACCATTTAAACGCCCATACCCTCCGCCTCCTCTACAAAATTACTAGAGACCAGGCTAGAGACATCGTTAAAGCCTGTCCCCAGTGTGTAACCTCAGCTCCTATACCTCACTTAGGCGTCAACCCTCGAGGCCTCATCCCTAATGCAATCTGGCAAATGGATGTTACCCATTTTTCTGCCTTTGGAAAACAAAAATACATCCATGTTACAATTGACACTTTTAGTGGATTCATAGCAGCCACCCTCCAAACTGGCGAGGCTTCAAAGAACGTTATCTCCCATACAATCCACTGTCTTGCCATTTTAGGCAAACCCCGCGCCATTAAGACTGATAACAGCCCCGGCTATACAGGAAAAAACTTTCAAACCTTTTGTCAGCAACTTCAAATTAAACATATTACAGGAATTCCTTACAACCCTCAAGGGC